AATGGTCTTTTGTGAGGGGATTGCTACTCCCTTCTTCAGGTTCAATGAGCTCACCGCGGAGTTCGTCCTCTTCGTCTGGTTCAGCAGTGCGACGACGCCGTGTCGCCATGTTCGCTATCACGTTTCCAAGAGCTCCTGCTTGAGGGCCTTGTGTCTGCTGTTGTTGTTGCTGTGCAGGGGGACGAGAGGTCTGATGTTGGAGCTGAGAATGACGAGCGTCTTGTCGGCCGACCCAGTTGTTGTGGTGAGTGGAATTCGGGTGGCGATAGCTGGATCGAGATTTGCATAGATCCGTTGAATGTCCGAAGAGTTTGCATATTTTGCAATAGTGGCGCCTTGGTTGTCGTCGCTCTTCACGGTTGTCTACGTAGAAGGCAAGGCGCTCTCGACGCGGCGCGGAGCTTGTTCTGCTCGAATCCATGTCCTGCTGTTCAGTCAGGAGAGCGGCGCATAGCGCAGCTTCAAAGATAATTCCTCGCTGTCAAAGTAGCGCTTTACAGGGCTTCTACTCTGGCTTGAGTCCTTGAAGGACTATATTGACGAATTTCTCTTCCGAGATTGCGCTCCCATGCTTCGTGATCGGGACACGGATGTTCTGACAGCGGATAATATAAGAGTTTGCTTTCTCCCCGTGCCCCATCTTTGTCTCCATGAGTTGCTGCAGGAGCCTGCTGGCGGTGACCGAATCCTTCGGTTGATATACCTCAACGAGGTGCTTCCATACTTCCAAGGCTAGAGCGGCGCTCTCTTTGTAGGAGCGAATGCTAAGTTGTTCCGCAGGCGTCATATTTCGTAGCAGCACACTATACGCCATGAGGGACTCGCTATAGTACAGAGCCTTGGCGTCGTCGGTGTCTTCCACCGGTTTTGGGTAGGAGCCATCGAAGCAATGGTAGGTCTGCGCTGTCTGTAGGAGGAGCTCAAGCTCGAAACTCCATGTATAGAAATCTTCGCCGTCAAACGCGGTAGTAGTCTTGATTCTCTAAACGCTGAGGAAGCATGCTTGTGCAGAGTTGATAACTTCATCACTTGGACGGGGGGGCAGTAGTTGTTGATTTGTCTGTGTCGAGGGAGAAGGTGTGCGCGGCAGTATCACGACTTTTGGCAGTCGGTTGTCCAGGTTGAGCTGATTGGGAAGATGTTCCCGCATCGCCTTTGCGATGTTCTTGGAGATCTTTCTCCATAGTTGATAGTCGCTGATCATGGTTGTCGCCTCATTTGTCGTAGCCAGATTGGTTTGTCTTTCAGCCGCCAGGTTTGCTTGGCCTCCGGATCCTCCGGCCATCTTGGTCTTGGAGCGTGTGCCGCTCGCCAGATCTTGGTTCGGCGAATTTCACGGAAGTGAAGTTGCGAAGAATCCTTGAGTAGCTCTCATACCATGTTACAATCCCAAGTGGGACTTAGCGAAGGATTCAGGGTTGATCGCAGGGTAGTATTGCAGCGGAAGTATTGAACTCAGGTCAGAGTGAATGTAAATGACAGAGATGATAAAAACATGCATATATCGGGTTTATGTAAGAAAACAAGGGAATACGAAAAGACCTAGACTAGCCATGTACTCTAAGGGGTACATTCTCTTATTGCAGCGAATTCAAACCGTGCGGCGCGGGAACCCGTTTCAACCCTGTTCCCGCTCCTTTCACTGCAAATGTTTCTGCCTGCATCGGTCTTGGTCAGACGGTTGTTGCGTCGCTTCGACTCTTCTGACTCCTCGACTTCATATTCGGTAGAGTCGGCTCCTGCAGCATACAGGAATGCCTTCTCATATGATTTCATATTGTAACAAAGGGGATAGGCAAGATGTGCATGAAGGAAACTGTCTTATATATAAATTACATGAGCCACGTTAGCAGAGAGGCTACTTGGGGGGGGATGAGGGAGGGGGAGGGGGGGGGGGAGCAGTGTAGGTGGGGGGAGGGCTGCTGGAAGACGGATAAAATGGTTATGGATCTAGGGGGTTGCAATGAGAGAGAAAGGTGGGTCTTTTTTGCTGGAGTCAATATTCGGGCCTAAGAATAGGGCTGGATTGACGAGGCCCTTGTCGGAGATTGGACAACGCATGTCCTCATCCTCTTCCTACGTCATTTGCCTGAAGTTCGTGGATGACAAAAGGAAGCCCTTTTCAGACAATGTGGATGTTCAAGACCACCCGCGCCATCATCACGGGAGGCTGCACACCGCTGGTGCAACCTCTAAATGTGTTTGTTAACTGCAGCCTCAAAATGGGGGTGCATCATCAATACACAATGTGGTTTGTGGAGGATGACATTCACCACAAAAAAACGAGCACGTGGTTTCGTCTTGTGCATTCACCTTTTGCTATGTGTTGCCGGTTTCTGAAATCTGCTTACGCATGTTTGTCCTCTACCCTGTCACCCACATGGAACTTGAAGAAACCACCTCCAAAGGTTATGCTAGGGTGGATTGTCGATGCGTGTGCCAACTTGCTAGAAGAGCTCGTCATGAAGTCCTTCTTGATGAGCAGGATTTCCGCAACAGAATAAGGCTTAGAGCACAATTTTATCTTGGCCCATCCTCGAACCAAGGCTGGAGTGGAAGTGCTTGAAGAGGGTGAGGAGGAGACTCTCCTCAACCCATTCTACAAAGTCCCTTGAAGAAGACCAAGATGGGGATAAGGCGGAGGCGGAACTCAGCGCGAACACCTACGCGATTTATAAGGAAGATGCACAGGAGGAGGCTATTTAAGCTAGAGAGGACATCACTGAAGAAGACGCTGCTAAATGCCCCTGTTCCAGGCAAGCGTGGTGAATGGAGTGATGCAGATGTGGAGTGGTGAGCCCCTAGGCTATGAGGCTGAGGAACTTGATTTCTAGGATGCGACCCACGATGAGAGCTAGCCATCAGCATGAATTCATGTTTTCAACTAATGATAGCTAGGATTTCAAGTACCATGCAACTTGTTAGTTTCTTGGGTTTCCTCGAGTGTAGTCGGCTAGCTAAGAATGTATGGTCAAACTTATTTTGTGATTGAAAACAACCTTAACGGTCAAGGGGGGTTGTTATATATTGTAAGGGGTATAAAAGTAAGGGTGTATCCCTGGGTGGTGGCAGGGCCACTGTAGTAGGCACTGTTGGTGGCATGCGGGAAAACCGCATGCCACCAACATTTTGCCCGAGGCGCTCGCGACACGAATTTGGTGGCATTGAAATGACATTTTTGGGACATAGCCCAATCACGCACCCGTATTTGCGCGCCAGTTTCCTGACACCAACCTGATGTTTTATGTGTTCGTAGCAGGCTGCCATCTACAGTGGCTCTGCCACCACCCACGGATACGACCTAAATTGAGGTCGAACTTAGGGGGTGTGTCAAACTTTATTTTATATAAACTGCTTACAACATAGCTGTTAGTTATGTTGTTTGTGGTGCACCGGACCTGGCCCACCTCGTGCTTGTATTTCTTGGTCTCTTGGCCTTTCTTCTTGTCCTCTTTCATCTCTCAACTTCCTAAACCTTCAAGTTCCTAGCTTCCACTTTTAATAGCACCCATCCACACATAAGCTACCCCAGGGTCACTAATCACTAGGGGCGGTATATCCGGGGGATTGTGGTAGGTGCACAAACAGGAAATAACTACACTAGCTTAAGGGTTGTGCTTTTTTCTCGAGGATCATGTTATGCTGGCATTTAGATACTCCAGTCCACGGTTAACAAAGACAAGCGCAACAGAATGAAATAACAAAGAGCAATGAGCTGCACATGGGACAAACATTTACACATTTGCCCAAAATTCCATATACTTCAGCCTCATGCTAATGACATGCCGCTCACGGACGTGCTTGATCGATTTGCGTTAAACTTAGGTTGAGATCCAATGGTCCAGCACTCTCAACCAATGTTGATGGAAGACTTTGTGGAAGCTCATTCCTTGACTCTAATGAGGATGCTCCTATATCTGCAGCACCTCGTGTTACACCATGCTGATGATAATGAGGAGGCTGATGCTGCTGCTGCTGTGATAAACGAGTCTGTTGCTGCGGATGAGCCTGCACTTGCCGATGCCGTTCCAGCAGCTGAAGCACAATTTCTTGCTGCAGTTTCTCCTTTTCCTGTTTCAAGAGCTGCTCCAGTTGCTCTTGGTGGTGCTGCTGCTGCTCTTGTTGCCGCTGCTGCTGTTGAATTTGCCGTGGCTGTTGTTGTTGCCCCTGTTGTTGCTGTCTTGGCTGGTGCTGCTGCTGTTGTTGCTGTCTCGGCTGCTGCTGCTGCTGCTGCTGCTGCTGCTGCTGCTGCTGCTGCTGCTGCTGCTGCTGCTGCTGCTGCTGCTGCTGCCATTGCTGCAGTTGCTGCTGCTGCTGCTGCTGCAACACTTGCAGAAGCATTTCCACGTTGACCGACTGGTCAGGAATCAAAGGCACCTGGGCAGCATCGGCAGCTGCCATAGCTACTGCACTCTCCCTTCGTCCCGTCTCCGCTGGCCCCTGCACAACTACTTGTCTCCGAATTAACCCCTCACTTACCCGCCCACCTGAGTTCAAACTCTGGCTGGCGTGGGAGCTCCTGATGCTACCAGATAGTCTTTCCCACGTCTCCCTGAGCCTCATTTGCGCATCACTCACCCACGGCTGACTGGCACTGCCCTGTGCTGCTAGTAAGCATGGGCTCTGCGAACTTGGTAGCTGCTGTGATTGGCCGGGTGATAGCGCAGGAGCGATAGACTCTGAACATTGGATGAGGTTCTGACCTTGCAGCCTTGGATGCTGATGCTGTTGCGGTAGCTGCTGCACTTGCGGTAGCTGCTGCACTTGCGGCAGCATTGGTGCCTCTCCTGGTGCCTGCAATAGCCTTTGCACCTGCAATGGCAATCGCCCTGCCAAGCCCTGAACCAGCATCATCCGAATCTGCTCCAAGCCTCCTCCCTGCATCAACTCTTCCCCCACAGACCCTCCTTGCGCTGCTGACTGCCCTTGTCCTACCCTCCCTTCTGACTCATGCTCATGCTCACACTGTCCCTGCAGCTGCGGCCGTGTCTCCACACTATTCACCAATATGCCTTCTGCCAACCGCAGCTGCCCTCCTCCTCCTCCTCCTCCTCCTCCTCCTCCTCCTCCTCCTCCTCCTCCTCCTCCTCCTCCTCCTCCTCCTCCTCCTCCTCCTCCTCCTCTTCCTCCTCCGACTCCTGCCAATACCACACCGCTTCGCATCTCACCCACTGCTCTCCTCCCAACCCCTCCTGTCCGCACCTGCTCAGCTCCAGCCTGTGTGCTGAGACCCAAGCCCTCTGCTCGTTGCAAAGCAGGGACTAGCATCCGTTCTGAAGTTACAGGCGTGCCCTGTGTGCTGCTCACTGTACCAGCTCCATCAGCACCGTCCCCCCCTTGCGCCCGTCGCTGTGCCACCAGCCGCTGAAGGTGCCTCAACACGTCGCTACCATCATCCATCATTTGCCCCTGCCCCTGCCCCTGCCCCTGTCCCTGCCCCTGCCCCTGACCCTGCCCCTGCCCCTGCCCCTGCCCCTGCCCCTGCCCCTGCCCCTGCCCCTGCCCCTGCCCCTGCCCCTGCCCCTGCCCCTGCCCCTGCCCTGCCCCTGCCCCTGCCCCTGCCCCTGCCCCTGCCCCTGCCCCTGCCCCTGCCCCTGCCCCTGCCACTGCCCCTGCTCCAACAGCTCCCGCTGTCGCTGCTCCTGCTCTTGCGCCTTCCACTGCCCCTGCTCCAACAGCTCCCGCTGTCGCTGCTCCTGCTCTTGCGCCTTCCACTGCCCCTGCCCCTGCCGCTGTCCCTGCCACGCCTGCTCTTGTGCCTGCCCCTCTTCCTGCTTCATGTGCTCGCTCTCCAGTCCTTGCTCACCTGCCCCTGACTGCGCTTGCCCTTGCCTTGAACCAGGAACCTTTGTCTCCCCCGCACTCTTGGTGCTGCCGCTCTTGGTGACGCCGCTCTTGGTGCTGCCGCGGAGAGGGCCCTTCCAGTGCTTCCGCATGTGCCCTCCCAATGCCTGCCCTGAGAGAAACACCTTGTTGCACACACCACACATCTTCACACCCGCAAGCACCTTTGCAGCACCGTCGATGCTGCTTCCGCCGCCGTCAGTACCACCCGCTGCGTATTCCTCTATTGCTACCTCCTCCCCACCTATGTTTCTCGCCGATTTGAAACGGCCCCCATGCACCGTGCCACCACTGACACCCCCTTCTCCCCTTTCATCCACTCTCCCTTCCCCTCTATCCCCTCCGTCCCGCTCCACTCTTCCTTCTTCTTCCCTCGCATCTCCAGACACTGCGACCACACCAGTGGCATCAGCCTGCGGTTGCCTCAATGAGCCGGCAGCAGCAGATCCCTCGCACGCGCTTGGTCCACCAATTCCTCTTCCTCGTTTGTGTGCTTCGATCCCCTTCTCCGGTTCAGATGCAGCTGCGGCTTGCTCTCCTCCTTCAGCAATTGGCCAGAATCCTTGACCAGCCGCTGCAATGATAGCCTTGCTCTCTGTTGCTGTGCCAATGTGCACGTCCGTATGGTGAATATCCGGTGTCATGTTCAGATCTATAACTTCAACCGTGGAAGCACTTTCGTTGGAATCCAAACCCAAGTTGCCTCCCTCTCCCCTGCCTCTTGGATGCTCCGTGCCTTCTTCCTTCACCGCTAATCCAAGACTTTTCTCTCCCTCTCCCTTGCTCTCTGCCTTGCTGATTGCCTGCATCCCTGACATTGTCGCTGCAAAAATAGCAGCGCCACCAGCACCAGCACCGCCAGCACCAGCACCAGCAGCAGCACCAGCAGCCGCACTAACACGAGATGCAGCAGCAACCGCAGAAGCAGAAGCAGCAGCAGGTCCGGCAGCACCTGTAACAGCACCAGAACCAGCGCTGGCACCAGCGCCAGCACTCCCACCTCCAATCCAGTACCGTTGCAATCCCTCTCCTTCCAGGAGGCTCGCATCCCCTCTTCGCTTTCCTGCACGGCTACCTCCTCTGGTCATTCCATCCATCCATCCCTCCCCTGCGCCCTCCCACTGCCTCTGGTGTCCTGTGCTTCCTGTTCCTTGTTGCGCATTCCGACCGAATGCCTCATTCTTTCCCTCCAAACCCACTCCAAAAAAAGGAGCAGCAGCAGCAGTAGCAGCAGCAGCAGCAACAGTAGCAGGAGAGGAAGCAGGAGCTGCGACGCCAGAATCGGTGGCAGATCGAAGCATTGTTGGCACCACCATGGGTCTGGACCAGATGGTAGCAGGCTCGCTTCTCACTCTTGGGTAGCGGGCACTCGCAGCCCGCAACTTCATTCCAAGAGCAGCCGTTGCACTTTCACTGCGGTTCTGTTGACTGTGCTGCTGCTGGTGCTGGTGCTGCTGCTGGTGCTGCTGCTGGTGCTGTTGCTGTCGCTTACGCTGTTGCTGTTGCTGTTGCTGTTGCTGTTGCTGTTGCTGCTGTTGTTGCTGTTGCTGACCTCCCTCCAGCCTACCACTGGCGTAGAAGAGACGTCCATCGCGTGCCTCTCCTTGTGGTCTCTCCACCATGGTAACCACTGGCTGAGGAGACAACCAATCAATCGATGAAGGTGGCAATAAACCGCGGCCGCTTCTGTTTCCATCTGCCTGACCTGGCTTCACCAAACCCTCTGTTGGTGCTGCTTCCGCCTCAGCCGATCCTTGCTTTGTCACCATCCGTACCAGATCCTTGAACGTAGGAGTGACAAAACCCTTTTGCCCCATCATGTCACCTCCTGGTGCTCCCCTATTGTCAACAAACGCTGCTGTTCCTGCTGTTACTGCTGCTGCTGCTGCTACTGCTGCTGTTGCTGCCGGAGCTGCCAGATCCGTTGTTACGGCGGCTGCAGCAGTTCGCCTCTCCGTTTCTGTCAAGTTTGCAGTCGCAGTGAACTGGGGCATAGTACATAAATGACCCTCCTTCCCAGTCGAGCGGGGTGCACTCACGAGCAATGAAGTGGAGAGGCATGCGGAGAGCGAGGGAGACAAATGATCCTCAATCGGGGCCTCGGAATGTCCTGAGGTAGCATCAGCTGAGAAAGAGAGGCCTGATGATGAATTTTGTGGCAGTCCAGGCAAATTAACAAGAGGCAGGGCCGTTGCTGCAGCCGCTGCTCCTTGTTCTCCTGCTCTTCTTCCCTCCTCTCCTCGTGCTGCTTCACGAGCTCCTAAGGGGTTTGTCGCTACGGCTGCTGATGGCGGCGGCTGCGGCGCTGGCACCGTTCCTGCTGTTCCTCCTGATGATGATGCAGGAGCGAATGTAGGCAGATCACGAGCAGCAGTGAGTGCTTGTGCGTTAGGCACAGCACGAGATGGCCACGTGCCGGGTCCCCTCTGATCAGCAACATGATCATGCTGACTACCAGCCGCCCAGGTGATGATGCTGCTCCTCCAATTCTCCTTTGTCTTCTCGAGTTGCACACGTTTCAAACCAGCACGTTCGGCTTCACCACCATCATCATCGTTATGAGGATGATGCTCATCATTCTTCAAGTTAGAACCATCATCGTCCGCAGCTGACGATGCAGCATCGTCGTCATCCGCATTGTCCCTATCCATCCCATCATCTCCCTCCCTGCTACCGTAGCAACCCCACTGCTCCATGCTGTGACAAACCTTTTAGCATCCCAGGCTGGCAAACTCTAACACACGCCGAATTCTATCGTTCAAAGGGTATGTGGCCTGCACTATGACCTCTCTTAAAGGGTGGCACGCATGGGTTGCTTCATTTTGTCAGCGGTGCCTTGTTCAGTGGGCGCGGGACTCTGGCGCCCCATATCATAGCCCCAGCGGCTCCGCCCGCTTCTCCTACTAGCGACGTTGAATCAAAGGTGGGCAAAATCGTATATATATGGACGTTGGCCATTCATTGACTACTAGTAGTAGTTAGTAACAGAACAAGTCCGACTTGAAGTCTGCCATTTGCCGCGAAGAGTCCTCCCAAGGACCCCGTTAGAGCCCCAGCGACTACTGGGATGTTAGGAGGCTCAAAACACTGGAAGCTGCAATAGCAGCGTCCCGAAAGCTAATTTTGGATCCAAATTAGTACTACCGACATAACATTCTGAAAGCATCCCAAAAATCGTTCTGGGAGAGAAGTACCCACCTTGGTGCCAGGAACAAAGTAATGTCGAAGTCGATGCATTGTTGATGAGTTGTACAAGGGTAGTTTTATAGCCACCTCGCACACAGCAAATACCCCCGAATAAACTCAACACATTGTACTTTGTCAAAAGTAAAATCTCAGTCTGTACCATATTTCTCTTGGTGTCGACTTTGTAGCTGCTGATACGGTAGATACCTTGCCATGGCAAACGACTCGCTACAGTGTCCTGACTTCGTATCTACTAAAATTTGCTGTTGGGTTTTTGCACGAGTTTACCCGGACTGTCTGAGTGTGGTAGCTAAAGAAAGGATGTCCGTCGATGCGAGTACTCATGAACAGACAAGATTACAATCAGGTCAATGGCCAAATTTGTCCAGGTTGGAATCTGGACCGTTGATGTTAACAATTGGGAACGGTGACGATTGAGCCTGAGATATTTGTTCCAAGTTGGAATGACGACCGTCGATCAGCAGATTGTAGTTTGGATACTCAGCCGTCGATATTAAAGGTGTTGTATGGTTAAGATCACAAGTGAGGTGTGTCTAGTTGGAATCTCAGTCGTCTATGACTCCTGGTCCTTCGTGATGCAACAGCCGTTGATTGATCAGGTACCGGTGGTTAGGATCGAAAGATGAACTGACTTGGCAGCACAGATAATGCAGCCTTGTTTTGATTGGTCGATGTTCCCATCACAATCTGATCTCGGGCAAGCAGTCACGCCATATATGCCAACGCAAGCACCAACCCAACTCTCATTCCTAGGTCTCTTGGTTTGCTTCCATCCCAGTTAGTTTTCCACTACGACCGTTTTTTCAGCCCCTAGTCCCTTTTCCTAGCTCCATTATGCTTCAAGTTCTTGTCTTTCCCTTATGCCTATCCTTTCAGCCTTAGTTGCTGTCATGTATCCTGGTTAACCGGCTACTTCGCTCTTGGCGGGTTTCTTCATTCAGAACCTTACAGTTTTTAAGCATGACTACAACTTTTCTTGCTGTATCTGAGCCGTTTTCAACACTAGCGCCCCCTGGTTTTGCAGGCGACTACACTGTCTAAGTAGACGTGGTTTCTTGTCGTGGCTATAAATCGCATACGCAACGCGACGTGGATTTGACGGCGACCTGATTGTCCAGGTAGCATACCCTATTTACTTATCTTCACTTTCAGCCTTTTTCCAGCGACGTTATTTAATGTAGAAATTTGTTTCCCGTTTTTGCAGGGATGGATTGAGACCTCGTCACTTCCAAGTTCACTCACGTACGAGAGTCCTTTAGTGTGAAGACACATAGGTGTTATGGTTATTGTGGAGACTGTCCTCGTCGTTTCTGTAAATGTGTAATCGTGTAAATATTGTTTAATATATGCGATTCAGTGACATGTCTCACCATATGATGAAAAGCGGGAACCTGAAACGAAAAGAAAATATCGCAACAATGCGCTTGAAAAACCTATAACGTAGTCACGTTATAAGGACATAGTACTCACATAATAAGGGCATAGTTTGTACAATGTACTGACTTCAGGTTCCTCAAGCAGTAGAGTCATTGCGTGAACTCCGTACAGACTGTATCAGGATGGTATGAGTACGGTCTTTCTATATGAGAAATATGCACAATGTACATTCTACTCAAAATTTGAGTATCCACATAGTACGTACCTTATTGCCAGGTGTAGAGTAGCTTGTAAGTCGCAGAACCTATACTTACATAGTCCGTCAGTACAATGTGCGCACTACATAGTTTCAGTGTGTCGACATTGTGTTTACTTAGTATTTTCGCCGAACAAATTTGGGATGAGCTTTGCGGCGAACAACTTGTTAGCCCTCAACAATGTCTAGTTTTGGAGGTTCTACTTCAAAGATGATCTGATGACATCGAATAAATGTCTTTCTTTTGACAGAGTATGCCCACTTGAAGGTGCTGCTTGGATACTCGAGCTCGAAGCTTCCTCGTGAAGCCAACGGTCCTCGCAGAATGAGAAGCCATGAAAACTACATTTTGGGGAAAAAAGACGAACTGAGCAGTGAAGCAAAGATATGGCTATCTTACAAGCTTCCTATGTTGAACAGCCTGGGCTAGAAATCACTGAAAATGGGTACCCTTGGAAAAGCAGGAGACTAATTTGGAAAAGGGAGTCTTCATCAGCAGGCACACATTTTCAGCTGACGAAATGCTTTCAAAATGCTCATCAGCAAGCACAGATATGAAGAGAATAACCACCCACACGATGAGCAAAGAGAAACGATTGGAGGGGTACTTCTAAACCGAAATTAAGTGACGACGTTTAGGCGCGTTTCACCCAAGTGCAAGAACCGTTTGCTGCTTTGCTCGATTTTTGCACAAGGAATCAGCAACATTTTAAAATGTCGACAGCAAGTCCACAAAATTTCACAAGGAAAAGTCGACAGCAACATTGAAGTCCACAAAAATTTCCTCTCAACTTTTCTGTCGAAGGTACTCCATTCTCGAAAGGTAGTAGAGGAATTGTTTCTTATCGAGAACCCAGCTAATTGCCACACGTGATGTTTTCTACCCACACCAGATCACCATAACAGCTAATTCCTGCCGCGGGTTTGTGGTGACAGCTGGCAGCTCAGTGCAAGTCCTACAGAAATTGGTTCGTTGGGCGGGATACTGTACAGTTGACAACAAATGATGCTTAGAGTTGCGGCGACCACCGTGTACAAAATACAAAATTGTCACGGTGGTTAGTGAACAGTTGAGATCCACCTACAGTATTTAGTGTTCAATTCGACAGCTGGGAAAATCACCGTAATCCGCAGGCAGCTTGTGGCTGGACTATCATCACGGACAGCCACGATCTCGTTGTTTTCGTCAGAAGCAGTGATGGTGGTAACAGAGTTCGCCCGTAGTCACCGCCAGCCTCTAGTGCCCTGGGCACGACGATTTGTTGGCGACGAGGTCAGAGAGAAATTAGGACGTGGGGCCAACCGAGGTACATCGGCTCGATCACACGCGATCATAATTTCTAGGAAGCCTGTATCTAATTTCAGGCGTTCGGGGGCAATCAGCTGATCGCGATCGGCTGATCGCCCCAACTCAATCAGACCCAATTTTCACCCCGATCAGAGACGATTTCCCTCGATCACAGGCCATACCCGATTGCATGTGATCGGGGCCCACTGCGACGCTTGCGAGTAGTTACACTGTTGCAATTACAGGCAAACGTATATTCTCGCCAGGTGGCGTACGTTCGCCATTCTCGCTAGAATGGGGACGAAAATGCGACATAAATGTTTCGCGCTTGAAAGATCTCTTCGGGCACTGCGACCACAAGCAACCCGATCAGATCCGACCAGATCAGATCAGTCACGATCAAACTCGACTGGGCCCACGTCCTTACGTAGGGCATCCATCCATGGTGCATCACACAACCATCGATCTCAGATCTGATCTGGTTGTGGCAGAAGCAGTGAAGAGAGAATTACTGTAGAACCTGGATCAGTGATTCATTCTTACTTGCATGGCCTTGAATTACTCGAGTGGCCATCAAATTTGGTGATAATTACTCGAGTGGCCACGCCAGGGGATTCCCGCTGGCATTTTTTTTTCCCGGCGCATTACCCTACAAGGGTTCGTATCCCCGAAACCTCTGTATTGATAATTGCGCGATTTTCAATTTACGCGATGATTTATAATGGATGTTTTCGCGTGATGATTTATATTCGAAATTTATGTTCGTGACTCTATATGACCGCGCCTGATTGGACGCGCATATAGTCGACCAATCATGCGCGGTTATTAATGGTCGGGCACATCATATACTACACCTTGTTCTCGATTATTTCACAGGGGTTAAACGCACAGCGCGACTCGGGATCGCCAGCGACCTGACGACCATGCCTAGGTGGCAGCGGTTGGTGGTGTTCCAGCTTCCTTGGAAGCAGGAACGCTTTTCGGACCTAAGTGTGTTGGGGGGGTGAATCTTTTGAGTCCGAAAGCTGAGCAAGGGGAAGGAACTTCTCCTCCCACAAATAAGATGAAGCGTGATTGGTGCAATGTGAGAATGAAACAATTTTTTGAGTGGGGCATTTTCCAGTGAGGATGTCTTGAGTGGGGCATTTTCCAGGCTGGCGCGCGCCGTACACTCGCACTTTACAGTCAGCATCCAAGTCCAGTAATCTGGCGTGTGAAATTACCGCGCGGCTTTTTTTCCCCTTTAATTTCACACCTCGCCCGCGCGGAACGTAGACGCGACTCGGCATCAAGGCCGTGAAATTATCGAGAACAAGGTGTAGTGCCCGATCATATATTTCCGCGATCATTAACTGCAATGCCCAGGCGTCAATATGTGGGACATTAAATGACCGCGCATGATTGGTCGATTATATGCGCGGTGCTTTGTTTTGCAATGCGTGTCCAATCAGGCGCGGTCATATGGGGTCACGATCATAAATTTCGGATATTGAAGATCGCGCATTAATCATTACAGAGGTCTCGGGGGTACAAATCCTTGTAGGGTAATGCGCCGGGTAAAAACAAACCAGCGGGAATCCCCAGGTGTGGCCACTCGAGTAATTATCACCAAATTTGGTGGCCACTCGAGTAATTTGAGACCACGCGAGTAAGAATGAATCACTAATCCAGGTTCTACAGTAATTCTCTCAGCAGTGAACCTCAGAACTTGCTTTCACGCCTGTTTTCTTTCATCAGACGCCCCAAACCTATTCTGACTTGATCGATCAGGCGGTAAAAAACTTTATGGGCTATAGATGATACTGTCATATGTCGACGCCGCAAAACTGCCAGGCTGCGACATGGAGTTGCTGCAACCGTCCACCTCCGCTAGCGTGTGTCCAGTGGTGCCTTCCTCTACCTGGAAAGATGTCGACACATTCTGGCCCTCGGATTTTCGGGTTACCACCCATCTAGCGGTTATCATTTCACGACCTGGCGTCAATGTTCACCTTGAACACGTGTCGGGTTCGCACGATAGAAATTTGCCGGAGAGTACAACAGATTCTCCGAATGGAAAGCAGCGACAGCACACAAACAGCCTGACACCTGCTCGCCGCAACCGCTGGCTGCCCATCATACGATCTGACACGGCTCCACTTGCTCCAACTTGTGTCCCTTGCGAGTTCTGCTTTCACACATTTCCGCCTGGTGGTGCGGCCTCCCGCCACATAGTTGCATGTAAAGCGGCAGATGCTCAGCGGCGGGCTCAGGCCCTTACTTCCTCCCCGAACCTGAGCGAGGTCTTCGGGGCAGATCCAGTACCTCCGCGGGATATCGGCGAGGAGGTGTGGGGGGTGGTGCCTTCGTGGGACTGGGAGACTTTTTTCAGTATTCATTCTGTGTCGGGAGAGCTTCTTCGTCGGGTCCCGCAGCGGGCGCGACTGGGGGTGCTTGATGCATTGTGCTGCATTCTCAAGAGACTGAAGGCTTCCCCTGGGGATGAGGCGGCGACGCTGATGTTCCTGGCCTTCCCGCGCCTCATTTTGGGAGTCCCCGCGAAGGAGGGTCTTGGACGAAGGGCAGCCATAGTAGGGCGTCTCGGAAAGTTCTGGGCAGGGGAATGGCAACAGCTGTTCGAGGCTGCCTCTGCCGCGTTGACTCCGGCGGCGCGACCTCTTGCCTTCTCCTTACCTGAGCGAGATGCTGATGCCATCCGTTTGGCCCGATGTCGCACGAGGTGCCAAGTGGGGGAATGGAGTCGAGGACTAGCATGCCTTACTGCGGGCGACTTTGCGCAGCCCTTTCAACTAACAGTAGACCGGCTGACAGCAAAGCACCCGGCCAGTGAGGTGCCAGTTCCTGAGTGGGTGGAGCACTTTCGCATAGACGTTTCTCATCTTCCCCACCTAACTGAAGACATCCTCAAGCATGCTATTCATTCCGCAGCACGAGCCTCAGCACCAGGCCCCTCAGGATGGATGACAGAGCACCTCCGAGACACATTTCTCTCGGAGCCTTCCTATCTCCCGCATCTGTTGGAGGTGTTCAGGCAGTGGATTTCGGGATGCGTTTCTGAGCGGGTGCGGCCCTGGCTTGCAGCCTCGAACTTGGTTGGGTTATCCAAGCCGAACGGGGACGTCCGCCCAGTGGCTATCGGAGAGGTGCTCCCTCGGATTCTGGCGCGTGCGTTATGCGTTCTTCTTCGTCCCGACATGGAGACCTACTTCGCTCCTTGTAACCAACTAGGGGTGGGGACTAAGTCGGGGGTGGAGATTCTGGCGCATGCTTTCCGCTCGGCTGTAGCGGTTCATCCGACGTGGTGCGCGCTGCAGATCGATGTAGCGAATGCCTTCAACTCGTTCCATCGGCACGTGATGTTCGACGGCCTCCGCGATTCTCCTTTTGCTGGCCTTATCCCTTTCTTACGCGTCTTTTATGGGGTGCCCAGCGGTCTGTACCTTCGCACAGGCCCCTTTGTCGAGATGCTGGCGTCCGAGCGGGGTTCGCGACAGGGGGATCCATTTGGTCCCTTCCTTTTTGCTTTCACGCAGCAGTTGGTTATGGGGCCTACAATGAAGGATTTCCCTGATCTTCTTTTCTTGAGCTACGCTGATGACACCTACGTTCTTGGCCCGCGGGAGCGAGTGTTGGCGGCGTACGATGTCTTGCGGGAGCGACTGGAGTGGGTGGGCTTGGAGGTGCAATCGCACAAGTGTAGGATGTGGGAAAGAGGGGAGGCGGCAGCGTCTGAGGATATTCCGCTGGGAATGCAGCAGTCGTGGACGGGGTTAACAGTGGTGGGGGTACCTATTGGAGAGGAGGATTGGGAGGTGGCGCGCTTGAGGGAGAGACTTTTGCAGCTGCGATCACCTCTACCTTGGCTTCCTATTTTGAACCACCCCCAGATTGCCTCCCACTTGTTGGCTGTTGTCGTGTCTGCGCGGCCGCTCTTCTTGACTCGCACTGTTCCCCCTCGTCCTGAGGTTCTTGACGCTTTCAGAGATTGGGATGGGGCTTTGGAAGAGTGCTTTGAGCAACTTTTCCCGCCAGACACTTGGGACTTCAGTCCTGATAGGTCGCGCATGGCTCACCTGCAGCTGCACCTCCCGGCTCGTTTGGGCGGGTTTGGCATTCGTTCAGCAGCAACTCTTAGCCCTCTCTCTTACGTCTGTGGGTGGTGCCAGGCTGCGAGTGCTGTTGTCAAGCTGGGAGTAGCGGGCGAGGAGCAGATGTTCAGTGAGTTCTTCCGCACTCCGCCGGCTGGGGATTTACTGGACCCTTGGTTTACCAAGGCCCTTGACCAGCTCCCGCCTGTTGTCAGGCAGGAATTGCCGAGTTTGGGGCTCTGCACTACAAATCCCCCCCTCCAGCTTTTCCCAGCGCAGCAGCGTCGCTTGGCGGTTGAAAGTCTTCAGTCTCTGCGGCGCATGGCCCGCGATGATGCTACCTTGGCCCGTTTGACTTCCCTTCAGGGCCCGGGTTCGGCAGCATGGGTGTCCGCAGTTCCAGCGCATGATGACGCAGCTTTCACCCCTGTGGAGTGGGGCATTTCGGCGGCAATCCGTTTGGGCCTTCCCGTCCACCAGCTTCTGGTTGCTGGCAAGTGTGTTTGCGGTGTGGAGTTCAAGGACCCGTCAGATCCGCACAATGCTCTTCGGTGCAAGTACCAGTACGCCCCGTCTCGTGTTCATGATGCAGTGAAGCTCGTTGTTGCTAAGATAGCCAAGGCATCGGGTGGGGTGGTTACGATCGAGGATGACACGCTTCTGCCGGGGAAGAGAGTGGATGTGGCGGTTAGGAAACCAATGGACGGGGAAAAACATGCGCTCGAGGTGAGCGTCGTGGATCCGGTTTCGCTACCGGTGCAGCAGCATGGGCAGTGTGGGCGGACAGTAGGTTTTGCTGCCAAGGAGCGAGAGAAGAGGAAGGCGACGGATTATAAACCTTTTCTGCGGCAGCACAGGGGGGTTCGTTTCTTCCCGTTGATTCTTGAGACTTGGGGTTGCTTGGGGGGAAGCTTTCGACAGTGGTTACGGCAGCAGGGGGAGGTTCAAGTAAAGGTGGCTCTTAACAAAGGTGTGGGAAGGGGCAACAGCTCGGGTTTCTCGGAATACTTGGTGGGGTCCTTGACAGCCGCGGTAGGGGTAGCTTTGCAGAAGGCACAGGCTCGGGTGATTCTTTTGCGGGCGGCATACACGTTGGGTCAGTCCGAGGCGGAGTGGGTGGAGCGAGGGGGTGGGGAGCAGGAGTTTGGAGAGGGAGCACCATGGGTGGACGTGCCCTACTTGGTCGACATGCGGCTGTAGATGTCTTAGGAAGCAATACTTTGTTTCGGGTTTTGGCGATGGTCTTTTGATGTTTGAGGTAGTAAGACACTTCTAGGAAGGGTTTATGCATATCAATTGCAAAGAACTTGTAGTACGTGAGACCCTGGCTTTAAAACCAGGGTCCCACGTAGATCATTTGTTTCGGCCAATATCATAGATACTCAAAGTATTCCCGAGCGGATTCTCAGGTGTAATCACCAACAGAAACACAGTTTCGCGGTATACGATCTGTACAACTCATCCTTTATAACCACTGGCCGATGCTGGATTCTATGTAAACTGCGTAACAGAATGATGCATATGAACTGTATTTAGGCCTCGCTGGACGGAATATATAATTGTACACTGTAACTGGAGCGGGGTTTGATACGCCCAAATCAGCCAAAATTGTACAACCACCGCCCAAGCAATCATTGTACAGTAAGCGAACATAGACGCGATTTATGTTTAGTACTCGTAACGTCCAGATAGAACCGATATATTTGCATAATAAAAGCTCCTGCACTATTGTGTAAAGTACTTTGTATATCACTATTCAGCATACATATCATACGCCTTTTGAGAAGTGAATGTAAAGGAAATTCAACAACATATCGTCTGCATTCTATGAAACCGCATTAGTAATAGCACAGGTTCTCTAAATTAGTTGACAACCTGCAATGTTGAGCAGAAATTGTTGATACGATCAGAACAGGCTCTGCTGATAGGAAAGGCACAGCTATCACAATAAAACGAAGACTGAAAATGGATAAATCAACTACCACAAGCCATACTTGGTGACACTTCTAGTTAGATGATACGGCATCCAATAAGGTAGTACTAAAAAACAGCTCATATTCAGTAGTCGATGTCAAGAACATCAGGTGCGGCCATCTCAACAAGCGTGTGAATTACGTCCAGAGGAAGCTCAGACATGTGCAATCCCAGGCGGTCTTGGGTCCAAGGGTGTTCCTGAACGAATAACCAGTTATCGGTATTATGAATTGCTGTCGTTACACACCAGCAAAGAACCAAGAAATAAATAAAACCACACCATCTTACCGGATATTCTGATTTGACATGGCACCACTGGTAGGAAAGGAGCAAGGCCTTCACGCTTTCCCTGAATGCTTCCGGAAAGCGATTGTGGGTTTCGGGGCTCCATCTGATAGATCCTGGCCTGACAATCACCATTTCACTCTCTTCAGCGTCTTCAGGGAGTGCGACCTGCAAGGTATACACCACTGGGAAGGATCAGAACGGATGTACACGTGTGCGAGTGTCTCTACCACCATGCGAGTGTATTGAACATCTGCGTACCAGCTTCTTCCCGACTACGAGAGGCTCATTTGAAGCGCATTCACGGAAGGCCCACGGGTGCAACACGAAGGTACGCTGACGATACGTCTGACCTGGCTTTATCTTTTCGTAAGCCACCTGCACATACAAGAACACACAAGAGTAGTTAGCAAGGAAGAGGTTATCACCAATGCAAAAACAGAGCCTAATACTGACAGCTTCGACAATCTTACCTCCTTGCCGTCGTAATCAATCCAGAACGCCTGTATAGTATCAGTTGTCGCATTCTTGAAGGTAACAGTTGTTGCTCTTGTAGATGGACCAGACTTAATTGAGTGAACCACTTCCGAACCAGAAGTAGATGGAGGGCTTAAAGTTGAGTCCCCCTCTGCTCCCGAAGGCCCTGCCTGAACATGATCAGAGGATGAATGAGGACCGGAGCCCCGACTTCCTCCAAACCCTGAAAGCATGGCTCGTAAGGCGAACTTCCAGCAATTGAGGATGCCACTGTTCTCGTTTGTCATGACGGAATTTAACCGCAGACTTTCGAGTCAAAGGCCTGTGATGGACCCGCCCGTCAGTTGCTGAAAGAGGGTCTCACCACCCCAGGTGATACGCGGTCCTTGAAGCTCGCACTGCTAAAACTGGAAGAATAAATTGTGACGACTGTCTGTCCGTAACTCTGTTTTGAGGCTGATCGAAGCGACCGCACACTGCTGGTCGAAGCTACTGTCATCCCTTGGGGATGTCTCATGGGTGGTACAACCGAGGTGGATCCCGAGGCCCAGCTATCAATCTCAATTGACTAGCGAGGTTTTTCTGATGTTGCCCAAAGCGGCGCCAGGACGTCCTTTTCGAGAATGACACCTCGACAACCTCGAATGGACATTTGGGAGAGCTAGGAAGAACGCCAATATCAAGAATAGATATACCGCCGCGCATCCTGTACATGACAATAACGTTATAAATATCAAATCTAGCCAAACTATCTTTCTATTCATCACATGACAGGGAGAGCTGCATATTGTAGGTCTTAGGCTTGAATCCGTGTGCACATATCGATTTCATACATTGCATCACCTTGAATGGGAGGCACAAGACACTGTTAAATTCCGCACACGGCGAACGGTCATGATTGTCATGATTCTATCCGAAGAAGGATTGGATAATTGTGGTGTTCCATGGGTCGCTCAGATGCTGCAGAAGATTGGCAGTAGGTCCTGCATGGGTAAAGCCTGCCTGGACTGCAAAACCGACAGATGCCACCATCGCCAAACGCCCTGCAAGCATTCATGGACACAGAAGCAGCAGGTATATCGGTTATGACAGTGGCCACGAGAAGCAGGGACAAAAGCAGCACAGACGAGCTGCATTTGCAGCTGATATCTGAATAAACAACTTAACGAGCCAATAGCCCTCACCATTTGCCAGCTCCTGCTCACGAGCCTTGTGCCCTGTCACTGCATCAGCTGCCAGGCCGAAGGGGTTGAAGAGAGGACCTCCAGGGTAGCTGGAGGAACAGAGAGAGATAGATGCAGCAAGAAATGATTTGGGTCCTAAGAGTCAGCACAAACCTTCAAAAAAATCTGAGTACACTGGGAAGGAACAGATCCTCCGTGAGGGATAAAGCACTGCAGATGATTCATGGATATAGTGCAAGGAACCATCATGGTCCACGGACATCGACCTCTCAATGACTTTCAATCTCATTCCAGCGCTTCTCACCCCACTCGTCCCTCACATAACGCCAATCGCTCCGACCAATCCCCCGCTCTCCCCTCCGTCCCATTCAGCAAGCCCGCATGCATCCAGCAACCCAAGAGATGCCCACCCAAACCCCTGCAAGGCCCCACGCACCCGTTGTCCGTGCCCAGGAAGGTGGGCTCAATGCCCAGGAACCATGCCTCGTCCTGCCCCTGCGACCCCGGCGCCTTGAAGTCCGCCCACCGCTTCAGCTCCACAAAGCTGGCGGGCGACAGACGGAGCGGGAAGGGAGATGGGGGAAAAAAGCCGGGAGGAGATGCGGGAGGGTGATGTGGGCAGCAAGCGGAGCGGTGAAGCGGGGAAGAGAGTCGGTGGGGAGGGGGAAACGGAAGAGTGATGGGGATGAGAAAATTGGGAGCGGAAAGACAAACGGTGCAAATAGGGAGTCATGCGGAGTTACACGGAACTATTTGGAACCATGCCGAACCATGCAGAACCGTGCAATAGTCCACAGGGACCGGGCGGCGACGTACTTGAAGAGGATGAACTGCACGGCGAAGAGAGTGGGCGCGTTGGCGATGTCGTAGTGCGCCGCACCCGCCTCGTACCACACGGGGAGGTCCGCGAGGCCCAGAGTGGTCAGCAGCTGTGCACATGCATCCGGGGGGACGTTGCGCGGAGCAGGCGGGAGAATGGGAGAAGTAGCACGAGTGGGAATTACAGACCCTTACGAGTGAGAGGAAGAGCGGAATGTGGAGACGAGGGAGGGAAACATGGAGAAGCGCGGCGGGGTGGTACATGGAGTGGCGGAAGTATCCATCCGTTCATCTATCAGGAATCGTACGAGAAGCGCGTTCTCCCATCAAGGAAAAGCGTTTCATCCAGAATGTTCAGGCCTCCCTCTCGACAACGCTCCCCACCATTCCAAAGCATCCCTTCCCCCCTTTTTCCACCCTCCCACACCTCCCTTTCCCCTGCCTTTCACCCCGCCATTCCATTTTCCCCACCCCTTCCTTCCGCCTCCTCCCCCTCCCCCCTGTCCGCGCTCACATCAGTGCCGAGCACGCCGGCGACGCCCAGCATGGCCCAGCGGCAGTGCACCAGCTCCGCCTGCACGTACCACCGCAGAGCCTCCGCGTCCTCCGCCAGTCCCAGCGGGTCGAACCCATTGTCGCCGGGAAGCCTGGAGGCGCGGGGACAGGAGATCAGTCGTAGCGTGGTTGGGATAGTTAGTCGATGGCTCGGCAGTGGTGTGGTCACTTGAATGCGGGACGCGGCCGGAAACGGACGTTATTTAACGATATCTTTTGTATTTTTTTATAATTTTGTGAAAGCACATTTGCGCAGGTGTTCTGGGCAGTTGTGAGCAATGCCACACGACCTCCAGGAAGCGGCGAGGTTATTTCTCCGCAAAGATTTCCGAGTTCATGCCCATCTAGGTCGGAGAGCCATGACGAAGGGAACACGTGGGAGGTGATAAAAATCAGAAAGAAAGGAATGCTACTGAACGTACGAGCCGTCGAGATAAGCCGGAGCCGTGCTGCCAGGGAGCCAAATTGGCCTCGAGGCGCTGCTGCTGCTGCTGCTGCTGCTCGCCTCAGTGGCAACGGCGCATCGCACGCTGGTGAACGACCTCCTCGCGACCGCCACGGGCCGGCATTGCGAGCAGCGACTGGAGAGAGCAGTCCTGGTCAGACTAGAGCTCGAAAGGGCGGAGGCTACAGCACAGCAACGAGCAGTGGCCATTTCGAATCAGCCGAAAAGGGACGAGCCGGATAAGGGACGAGCCGGCAGATGAAGAGCGAGAGAGGCGCTTGGTGGAGCTCTCTTGCTGGGTGTGCCTGAGTGGTGCAGGCAGTGAAGGAGCTCCACCAAATCAGACTATAACGGCAACAGATTTCCAGTGACAATTGAATGCTTCTTATCTCCAGCGGACTAGATTGATGTTGGAAGAATGTGCTAACCTGAAGTTTCCGGAAAACCAGAGGATTCTGATACAATAACGACGGCTTCTTTTTCTAGTTGTTCTTCCCGATAGAATAACATTAAAAATGTGGAAGATTTTCCAGTGACGTAAATTAGTCACGTTTTGTGCTTTTACCGGGCGAAAGTGGTCTTGAATGCACATCAGATCAGAGATTCCAGGGACTTGCTGACGTGGATCGAAGATCGTGGGGGATAGAAAATCATCAACCACCAGTCGGGAAGGGAACTCAAGGTGCCACCTTGGATATACACTTCACGCGTTACTGCAGTCTCACGAAATTAAAAAGCAATGAGAGCTACATCTGTAGTTCAACACAATGTACATAATTCCGGTACAAATTTTACAAACAAGCAACCATGTTCATCTCATCACCACCGCTCTCTCCGCTTCCGAGCAGACCTTTTCCCTGAAACCAATTGAGGAAGGCAAGTGGACGACCCTGCAAAGAGAAATGCAATACTGGCAGTTGGACTGACCGGAGAGGAGGCAAGCACACACTTGACCGGCTGCTCATGAATCTGAAGGGCATCACACCCCCATATTAGCTCCCCATCCCGCCTGGAACCAAGAAGATCCATGCCATCCACTTTCTGCTTCTTCTGACACTCCCCCTCAACCACATCACCCCTCTCCCAAGCAAAAACGCCCTTCGAAGAGCTGTCAATAGCTTTTGACTGCTCTGTACACTGCTCCATCCCCAGACGACAACCAACCTGCTTCCACTCCTCTGCATCACCCTTGGTCCCCCTTGTCGAATCAACTCCCCTCTGCAAATTATCCTGCCAACCACCATGCGCTCCTGACCTTTTATCCCATGCTTCATCCCTCATCTCATGCCCATTTCCATGCGCAGGCTCATGCACAGGCACAGGCATAGGCCCGCAATCGCCACGCCCATACACGAGATGCCTCTGCTCAATCCCACCGCCGTGCCTGCTGCTGTGGCAGTCCACATGCTCATGCTGATTATGTTCCCTGCGCCCATGCAGATCCCTCTCTACAGAACTGTACCCATCTCTAATCCTGCTCCTCTCCGTCTCCCTTTCTCTCTCCCTCTCCCTCTCCCTTTCTCTCTCCCTCTCTCTCTCCCTCTCCCTTTCCTTCTCCCTCTCCCCAAGTCGCTCTTTTAGCACCTGCTCGTGCAGAAACCCATGCCTGTCACCAGCTGACTGTGCATGCTCCTCAGCCCCAGCAGCTACTGTAATATCCATAAATGGGGATCTGGAGCGAGGCGAAGAGGTAAAGGGCAGAGAGCGGGACGGGGACTGGGACCCCCGTGATGCCTGCAGGTGCTGCTTCGACCATTGCTGCTGCTGCTGTTCGTGGCACGGCGCGGGAGAGTGCAGTGGCGAGCGAAGAGGCGACTGCAAGCGTCGGAGGGGGGATCGATGGGACGAATGGGAATAATGCCGGCGATTGGGAAGGAGGTGGTGCTGCAGCGGATGTTGATGCGGCTGCTGCTGATGCTGATGTTGAATCCCCTGCTGCAGATGCACGCATTGCTGCATGTGATGGTGGTACGCATGGCGAGGAGATGCACGCCCGCCACCTGCACGCCCAGGCGCAAACCCCCGCCGGCCCGCCGAAAACGCGGGGCCAAATGGCGGGAAGTGCGGCAGGTGCAGAGGGTAGTAAGGCAACAGAGGCGAGAAGGACGCATGGCATGGAGAGTGCAGCGAGAGGGGGTAGGCCAGGAGCGGATGTGCATGAGGATTTGGATGGGCATGGGTATGGGCATGCGGATGGGGATGGCGAGAGAACGACCCAGGTTCAGGGAACGATGCCAGTCCGGCCCTACCAACGGGAGAGGAGAAGTGCGCGGGGGAGATGTGTGAGGGGGATGAAAATCCCCCTCGAGGCGGAGTAACGAACGGTAGGTGAGGAGGGGAGAAGAGGGTGGGACGGCGTGTAGATGGCACGGATGGTTGCTTAGGGGGGAGACCTCGAGGGCCCGTTGGAGAGAGCGGGTGAGGTGGAGGGGAGTGCGTGGAGGGACGAGATGGGGCGAGGGGGGGAGATGAGAGCGGGGAAGGTTGATTCAGGGTGGCAGAGACGTGCTGAGAGCGCTGGCGGTGGTACTGCTGGTACTGATTCTGCTGCTGATGCTGTTCACGTGAAGGTGATGAGGAGCGAGGAAGGGGCGCCTCGTCATGAGGTGGAGAGCTGGCTTTGGAGATGATGTGTGCATGGGGTGGAGAAGAGAGGGATGGGAGGCCTGTAGAAACTATGCCGCTTGCACTTCGTTCAGCGCCAAATGATGCACCTAAGTCCCTCCGACTCTCCTCCCCCCACTCCCTCCTCTTCTCCCTCACACTCTCCCTCTCTCTCACTCTCTCCCTATCCTCCCTCTCCCTTCCCCTCTCCTCTCCGCCCTCCCTCTCTCGTGACCTCTCCCTTCCCTCCATAGCCTCTTTCTCCTTTCCGCTTCCCGTCTCCTTTCCCATCCCCAACTGATTTCCGCTCCCCATCTCCTTTCCCCTTCCCCGGTCCGATTCCCTCTCTTCATCCCTACTCTGGTTGCTCTTCATCACCCCAGCTACTCCTCCAGCACTCCTACCATCAACGCCACTACCGCAACCACCATCTACGTTCCCTCGCTCGTCGCTCCTTGCTTCAACGCGCCTTTCCTTATCACTCTTTCCTTCGTGCCTGTCTTCCGCGTGGATGCTACCCTCGTGATTCTCGACCACGTGGTTCTTAGCCTCGTCGTCCCTCACCACGTGGGTGCAGCAATCCACACTCTCGCTCCGTGTCTCCTCTTCCTTCACGCCTTCTCTCGCTCCACTGGCCTCCTTCGCAGCAGCTGCGCACTCGCTCCTGCCCACCACAGCCTCCCACGTGCAGGCTCCTCGCCTTGGATCCGCGGCAACAGCAGCAGCCGTTGTCTCAGCGCCTGCAGCGGCAGCAACGCGGCAACCTGCGTCACCAGAATCAGCATCAGCAACAACCGTTGCAGCAGCAGCAGCACCAACATCCGAATACGCGGACCCTCCTACAGCAGCAAGCCTAGATTCCTGGTCGGCCGCGTCCCGACTCTCAACATCCACACTCGTCCTCACACACTCCCCTTCTGATTCCCCTTTCCTGCCATTCTCCCTATTCCACTCCACCTCCTCCTTTTCCTCCTTGGCCTTCTCGTTCTCCTGCTCCTCTTTCTCCTTCTCCTTCTCCTGATTCTGCTCCTCCTCCTCCTCCTCCTCCTCCTTCTCCTCCTCCTCCTTCTCCTTCACTTTCTCCTCCTCCTCCAACTCCTCCGCCTCCTCCGCCCCGCACGGCTGGACGCTACTCCCACCTTCCAAACCGCCAATGCCCTTGTCCTCCCTACAAGCTTCCTCGATCCTCTGCTCATCCATGCAGCACGCGTCCTTGTCAGCCTCTCTAACGCCAGCACTACCACCGGCAGCAGCAACTTTAGCACCACTACCAGCACGGCCGTCTGTCTCTCTCCCACGCCTGGGCACTGAACCACTAACACGCCCCACACTCGGCCACTCCAAGCTAAGACTTATCTCCTTGCCCCGCTTGCCCTTCCCGGCGGCTTTGCCCTTCCCATCGCCCACACTCGCCTCCTTCGTCCGTTTCTTCCCGTCCTTTCCCACTTCTCTCTGTCCCCCCGTTGCCTTGCCACTACCGACGGATCGAGCAGTGGGAGAAAGAGGGTGAGACTGCGAAGAAGCCGCCGCTGCTGCTGCTGCTGCTGCTGAAGATGGTTGTGGTTGTGGTTTTGACTCGGGCTTGAGGTGAGGCTTGGAGGGGCTTAGGGGTTGCGGATGAGGTGGGGGTGGGGTGTGTGTGCGGCGCAGGGAGTGCAGGAGGGGCGTGAGTCGCAGCTCCAGTAGCAACATGTGCATCACCTTGTCGCATTGACCTCGAATCACCTGCCACGCACATGCCACGCACAGGCCACGCACATGCCACGCACATACCACACCATGACGTCACCATGCGATCACGCCAAACAAGCGAAAGAAAAACGCAACGAGACACCACGCCCATCAGACCATCATACCACCCAGTGCCACAGGAAATCATGAGCGATAACGACCAGAAATCGTATGCAAAAACAAGCCGAGTCGAATCACCTCCCACATAGTAAGAAAACAATAACGGGTACGCAACAATTAACGCGGACGGGGATCATTCAGAGAGGGCAGAGAAGCAACAGTCAAGTGAATACATGAATACGTGGCAAGAGGCTCGAACTGCTGCTGCAGCAGCTTCACACCTCGAAACAGACCCTTCTCCCTTCCAGCCATTCCCGCCCTTCCGTCTCAATCCCCTCACCACCACACACCAAACCAACCCCAACCCTTCAGCCTTCACCCCTCGCATCACAACAGCCTGTCCTCCCCCCCACGCTCCCCCATTTCCTCTCCCAAATTTCCCCCCATTTCCTCCCCCCCTCTCCGCGCAAACTCCCGCGCGCACGCACCAGCTCCGCGCGCGCGTCCATGGGGGTGGGCTGCAGGTTGATGATCACGAGCCTTCCGCCGTGGCGCGGCACACTGGCGGGGAAGTTGCACGCGGGACCCACGCGCAGACTCGACCCCATCACCAGCGCCACGTCCGCGCGGTCGCTGTGGCGCTTCGCGGACTTCAGCGGCTGGAAGCGGAGCGCCGGGGGGAGAGGGGGGCGGTTGGGGAAGGGGAATAGGGTGGGGAGGGGAATCGGGGGAGGGCGGAGGAGAGGGAGGAAAGAGGGGGTGTGTGGGAAGGGAGAGAGGAAGGGGAAGGGGGTGGAGAGAGGGGAAAGGTGGAATGGGGGGATATGAAGATGAGGAGAATGGGGAAAAGTGAGTCGGAATGCAACGAGAAACCAAAACCAGAAAAATGCAGCCAGGTATCGTGATACGCGAATGACACATTTGACAAAAGGAAAAGGGAGGGAGGGAGGGAGCGGGGGGGTTGGGAGAGTCGGGAAGAACGGGGGGCGGGCGGGGCATGCGGGGCGGGGAGTTGTGTGGGGAGAGCGAATGGGAAAATGAGAGAGCACGGGGAGAAAGCGAAAAATGAGGGTTGGAAAGGCGAGTGGAGGAAGCAGTACCTCGTTGGGAAGGCACTCTCCGAACAGCACGACGCAATCCTCTAGCTCCCCTCCGCACCCCTCCACCTCACACATCCTCCCCGTCCGATGGTCGAACTGCAACTCCTCCTCCTCATCCTCATCCTCATCATCCTCCTCTTCCTCCTCTTCTTCCTCGTCCTCTTCCTCTTCCTCCTCTGACTCTTGTTCCTCCTCCTCTTCCTCCTCATCCTCGCTACTCTCCGACTCGCTATCAACAAATCTCCTCGCTCTCGCGCTTCGCGCTCTCTTCGCCTTCCGCTTCGCCGCCTCTTCTCCTTTATCATTCCTTTTCCGCTTTTTCAGCGCAGCACTACCACCTCCTCCACCCTTCCTCCCACTTCCAACCCCCCGTGCCTTCTCCTTCCGCGCGGATCCCTCCCCCCTCTCCCCCTCTTTCTTCCCCCCGTCCGCCACCACCCCCGTTGCGCGCTCCAGCAGGATCTTCGCCGCGCGATTCGCGTCCTCCTGCGTCGACCCGCGCGCCGTCGTGAGCCCCTTCCACACCGAGTATCCGCGGAAAAACTCCGCGCCGCAGCGCGCGCACACCTCGCGACAAAAGTTACCGTGCAGCTCGCTGATTTCCTGCGACCGCAGCCCAGATCGCCGGTGCAGCCCGTCGATGTTCTGCGACACCACGTGTCGCACGACGCCCGCCTGCACCATCGCCGTGATCGCAAAGTGGCTCAGCGTCGGCGACACCTGCTCGCGGAGCGGAAAACACCAGGCGCAAGAGGGTGTAGGAAAATCGGTAGGAGGGCGGGGAAGGGGGCGGTGGGGGGTGGTGGAGAGGGAGGCGCAGAGGGAAGAGAGAGGGAGGGGAGGAGAGGGGGGAGGATGGGGGGAAGCGTTGGGCGAATAAGGGAGTTCTCTCGTGTGAGCCAACACACGTGCACGCGAGAGAGGTCTCGTGAAATGTATGCCCGTGCCGACAAACTTAAGTGCCTCCCTCCCCCTCCCGTGCAGAGCGTCGATGTTCTGCGACGACACGTGTCGCACCGCGCCTGCTTCGACGGTGACCCATCGCCGGGATATCGAAATCCGTCAGCTTAAGCGATACCCGACGACGGGAGAAACGCGCGGAAGGAAAACGGCGGGCGGAGATTTGCGGAGTGTGAGTCGTGACTGTGGCTAAACGAGACGGGAAAAACGTGGGGGGAGGAGACCGCAGGACGAATGCAAGGAGTAGCGCGAGGGAACTCGCGCGTAAGAACGTGCGCGTGAGAGGTGCACGTGTACGTGTGGGTGGGCGAATGAGTCAGAGCTAGGTCGAAAGCTAAATTGACGGTGACGGCGACGGCTTACCTGAAGAAAGTTCGGCTCTTTGACTTGAATGCCCTTAGAGCGCAGCGTCCACACGCCGTTCGGCCCCCGATAATCCGGAATGCCTGCTGACGTGGAGATACCCGCGCCGGTGTACACCTGCACGGGGAGAAGAGAGTCCAAGCGTTGAGAAATACAGCGGAGAGGGGCGAAAAGGGAGAAAACAAACGGAGGACGCGCAGAAAGGGGCGGTTCAATGGGGAACGGAATCGAAGCACGTGACGACGGCGTGTTAGCGACAAATAAGGAGTAACCTTCGTGAGTTTAATGGGCGAGGAGAAAGAGGAAAAGCGGCACAACGATTTAGTCAAACCGGTTTCGCCTTGCATAAAAAACGTCGCACGCCCTGCCCCACCGCTGTCCCTCCCTCGAGCACACATGCGCGCCACCGAACCCACAAGCTATGTCACACAATCCACCCACTCTCCGCACCCATTCACGGTCACCCACAAATCTGCAATTCAGCCACCAGTCACGCTTCCACAACCCAGTCCTTCCTTCCGTCCCTCACTTTAAAAACACAACAACAACGCCGACCCACCATGGCGTATCTACTCGTCTTGAGCAGCCGCGCGAGCTCCTTAACTTTCGTTGCAAGCACATCCGGCGGATCAAATAATTCTCTTTCACCCGTGCTGTCTTCGCTACCTCCCCCGCACACCGACCCTCCAAGCCCCCGACCCCTCCCACCACCGCCGCCGCCGCCACCAACGGAACTCTTTCCTCTGGCACCGTTCTGACTCCCCGCTTTCTTCTTTCCCCCCGCTGCGCAATGACCACGGGGACTCCCACGGTTCATCACGGCACTGCTTCCGCTACTCGTGCTTCCGCCTCCGCCACCGCCGCCGCCAAAACCGCGCGCGTTTCTGCCGACCTTTCTACACCTGCCAAAAGCCTCTTGGCTGCTGTCGCTGCTGGTAGAGTTAGTGCTGTTGGTGGTGGTGCTCGTGCTGGTGCTCGCCGATGCACGGGAACACTGCGATTGACGATTCCCAGCGGGCTTTCTACCAGAGTTTCCGCCGAAAGCTGTTATCGACGGTTTCTGTCTAGGGGTTGCCGATGAACGCTGCGTGGCTGGGCTCGATAGATGCCTACCATTCGCCATGCGGTCAGGTTGACGGCTGTGCGGGAGGGAATTAGACGCACGTTGCAGTGAACGGGAAGAAAACGAAATAAACGTTTGCGGTGAAGCACAGATGGAGATTCGAGAATTGAAAACACAGGAACCAATGCCGGCTCGCCGCTGAGGGACGCTGAGATTTCTCACATAACCATAGGCACGGAACACTAGAATCTCAAACTTCGCAGAGATGGGGGCAACGGAGACTAGAAGAGCTGCTTCGGGCGTACCTGCCGAAGGAACTACTCCGTCTGCGCTCCAAACATACGCTGCTATCGACAGAAATAGTTGAGCCACATAAGAAGGTTGAAAGGTGATTCTATCAACTTCTTAGTAATAAAGTCACCGCGCAGAAATGTGGATTAAGTCGAGCGTGAGTAGGGAACGGATAGGAAAACTTAGGTCGAAACTGAGAAACGGAATGTTGTGCAACCCCAACAACTTCAAGGGTTTCAGTCAAATGGTGCTGCTGGAGCTCCTTGACAGAAAACTTCGAAGCAGAAGGGGAAAGAGTAAGGGAGGGAGGGGAGAGATGTTAAGGCACAACAGGAAAGCGGAGGGGAGCGGAGGGGAAATGGTGTGCGGAAGAACGAAATGAAGCGGGGGAAGCGGAATGGGCTGGGTTGCGGAACGGGAATAAAAGACAGCTTTGGTGGCGGGACGGCGGGGTGAGGGTGTGCGGAGCGGAAAACGGGTGTCTCTCTGCACTAGCACCGTCTGTGCGCAAAAGGAGTGCGGGTTTTGTTTGTCGGGGCAGTTAACTTTTAACAAACGGTTTGCTGTGCTGCCCCGAAACTACGTGGAAACAAGAATTCGCACAACGTGTACACAATTTTTGCTGATCTTCGGGTTCCAGCACTTCCGAGAGACTGCCAGCCAGAACAAATTGGGCAATTACGTGCCCGGCCATATTTTGGTGGGGGGAGAATACACGTCACAAAACCATAAGGTTTGGGCTTTTTGTTCCACCTCATACTGGAGTCTCCTGGGACCTCGTTGATGTGGTGGGCAGGTTCCCCAGATATTGTCAGTGCAGGTAAGCCGACGCGGATGACGGTTTGGCGGGTAAACGTGGGCGGAAGCCCTTGGCGCAGATTTGGTTGCGTGTGGCGGGAGAGTTTGTGTGCATCTTGGGTTGGTCGAAAATTACACGAGAGACCCTGACCTTAGTCGGTTGCGCACTGCGCACACATCCGGATTCCGGACTGAGGGAGGCGTCAGGCGGGCGCAGAGTTCAGCACAGCCAGGGGGAACCAAGGGAGGGACAGGCGGCCGGAGAACTGGTTGCGGAGAGCGAAGTGTTCCGCCCCGCAGGAGTGAGTGCTCAGGGGCTCTGGTACGTGTTGACGTGTCCGTCGAGTGCGGTGCCGCAGTCGCACCGCTGGCAGGCGGAGGCTGACGCGGAAACATCTACCAGCAATTCAGAGCACGATAATATATATTCGTATAAGGTGGACAGACAACATGATTAGTGCTCTACCTTCATGTAGAATGATTTGAATACTAGCTAGATTTTTGGAGAACACATGCTTAGAAAACGAGCAATATTGACCTCATACTCTTCATCTACAATGTGCATTATTTTTTTACACCCCCATTCAGGTTGGAAAATTGAGAGGAGGGTCGAGTGATGAAAATATGCTAACTTGCCATACATACCGGCTCGATGAGAATGTGAAATGAAATTACTTTATGCAGTCGATATGCACGACTTCTTCTGGTTCCAATTCAAGTGGCATAGGCCCAATTCTCAAATCAACAAATTTGAAATGAAACAACGGCCTATATCATATACATTTCGGCGTCACAATCGACTGTACCGCTCTGTGCTGTAAGGAGATGTGTTTGTTAGTTTGATGCATTGGAGGTTTAGAAAAATACATACTTTTAAGCCTCCAATTTATGTACCCGAATTATTCCATGTGAATTAGAAGACTTCAACACGTTCTCTTTATTTAACATGCATTTTTTCATTCGATTGGTGTTACGAATAGTGGAAAATGAATGAACCCTTGTGCAGTCATTACCGCGGCAACCGAAGCACGCACTACCGAGGTTGAAGACGAAAGGGCGGAAGTAACACGAAGAGACGTACAATTACAAAACGATCTGGACCGTCGGGCAGACAGCATCAGGCAGCAGCAGTGGCGATGATTCTACCTGAACAGTTTCGTAACTGTCTGGAGTCGCACGGTTGGATTTTGTTGTAATAAGGGCATGTACCCCTTAAAGTACATGGCTAACTATGACATTTCGAATTCCCCTGTACTCATATTTATATTCCATGTATTTGCGTGTTTTAATCATATAAAGCATTTTACATTCACTCTGCTATTGAGGTCAAGGGCCCACCACTACTACTCAGTCTTGTGCGAACCTTCCTGAGGTGATCCTAGGCACGATCAATCTTTGATCGCAACATGGTATGAGAGCGACTCAGGAATCTTTCACACTGCCACCTCCAAAATCTTCGACGATTGGAAAGTGGCGTCCGGTACACGCTCGCGGGTGAGAATGGCCAGAGGATCTGGTGGTTAGACGAATCTGACGGCTAAAGCGCAGCCCAACCCGACTTCGACAAGCGAAGAAACGACGACGGTTGGAACCGCCGTCCTCGCACAACTGCTTTAACGACTCACCAGCTTGGAGCAAGGGCTGCAAACATTGCGGAATGGCGACGCGGGAACTTCCTCCCAACCCTCTCAACCGGCCCCAAACGTGTCAAACTTATATGCTATGGTCTATCTAGGCTGTAGTGGGGTAGACACTATAGGGTACAACATTTCTAGGTTTCCTACTTGTACCCACATTTTGCCTAGTCATTTCATCCCTCGTAATTCTCACATGGTATAGAGCAGGTTCCCTAGTGGGAACGTTTTCTAGGGCCCACCACTATTACGAATTTTTTTTCCTTACCTGCCCGGAGCGCGCTTCGCGCCTGCCCTAGTCGCGCCCCGTGCGCCTGCCCTCCCGTCGCGTCCCCTGCCCTTACGGCCTGTCGTGCCCCTTAAGGCCCATTCGCGGCCCCTTCGCGGCCCTTCGTGGCCCCCCCTCACGGCCCTTCGCGGCCCCTTCGCGGCCCCTCGCGGCCCCTTCGCGGCCCTTCGCGGCCCCTTCGCGGCCCCTCCGCGGCCCTTCGCGGCCCTTCGCGGCCCCTTCACGGCCCCTCCGCGGCCCCTTCGCGGCTCTTAGCGGCCCCTTCGCGGCCCCTCCCCGGCTCTTCACGGCCCTGCCGCCCCCTCGTCGCCGCCCCAACAGCAGCTGCCGTCGCGCCTGCTGCCGCCGCTGCTTCCGCCACGGCCGGTCGCCGCCGCCGCTGCTGCCGTGACAGCCGCCGCCGCTGCTGCTGAGACAACCGCCGCTGCCACTGCCGTGACAGCCGCCGCCGCCGTCCCGGCCCTACCCTGCAGCCGAGTCGCGGCCCTCTTCTGCCGCCCTGTCGCGGCCCTGTTCCTGCCGGCGCACCTCGGCCCTGCCCCACCACTTGCGGGCTTCTACCCACCCGCCCCTGGTAAGCGCACCGCCGAGCCGCGCCCCTCCTCCTGCTGCTACTGCTAACCTGCTTCTGTTGCTGCTGCTGCTAGCCTGCTGCTGCTGCTGTCATGGCTACCCCCAATGTGCTCACCTTTGATGCTGAGGGTCGGGCTGTCGACTTTGAGGTCTGGGTCGATGATCTGCAGCTTTTCCTGCAGTGCGATAGAAAATACGGTCTCTCACTGTTCGATCTCACGTCTGGCGCCTCTGCTGCCCCTACTGCCGATGCTGACAGTACTTCTCGCTCACAGTGGGCCACACGCGATGCTGCTGCTCGTCTTGCTGTGCGTAGTCACCTGCCGTCCACTGAGCGCGCGCACTTTAGTCAGTACAAGAGTGCTAAGACCTTGTACGACGCTGTAGTTGCACGCTACTCTTCCCATGCCACTGCTGCCCTTAGTCGCCTCATGCTGCCGTACGTGTTCCCTGACCTCGCCGCCTTTCCCACAGTCGCTGACCTCATTACGCACCTCCGCACTAGTGACACCCGCTACCGCGCTGCGCTTGATGCTGAGTTCTGCGCCAAGAACCCCCCCCCCATGTACATCACCCTCTACTACCTAGTCACCCGGCTCCCTGACTCCCTTCGCTCAGTCAGGGACCACTTCCTCTCTGTTTGCCCCACCACACTCACCGTTGACCTCCTCAAGGAGCGCCTCCTTGCAGCTGAGAAGAGTATAATAGCTGTAGGAGCCTCTCGTGGTGACCCTCGTGCCCCCTTCTTTGAGGGGTGCTCCCCCTCCCCCCTTTTGCCCTCTGTTGCCTCTGCTGCTGCTGTCGACCTCGTTGGCACCGAGTCGGTCGGCGCTGCGTCTGCCCCTAGCGGGAGACGCCGCAACGGCAAGGGCAAGGGGGGTAAGGGCGCTGGAGGAGCTGGCGGGGGCGGTGGA